AGCCAGGACAGTTAAAGTGGCCTCAATCTGCATTATTTCTGTCAGTCTTCAACGGCCCATAGGTCACAATTCTCTTGCTGACTAACATTGATGTAAACTTTGGCAATTTACATTAATGTTAAATATATATATAGGGGATGCAGTGGCTCAAGTGGTTAAGACTCTGACTTTGTTGATTGCAAGATCAGCAGATTGGCAGCTTCTGCCAACCTAGCAGTTCAAAGGCATGCAAATGCAAGTAGATAAATAGGTACCACTTTGGTGGGAAGGTAAAGCATTCTGTGCAATCATGCTGGCCAGATGATCACAGAGTAGTCTCTGATTAAACTGGCTATAACGGAGATGAGCACTGCCCCCTATGGTCGGACATGACTTGACAACCTTGTCAATGGGGAATACCTTTACCTTTACCTTTTAAATGTATATAGTGTTAAGTGTATATACAGCCAGTGTGGTGTAGTGGCTTGAACATTGGACTAGTACTCTGGAAATCAGGGTTTGAATCCATGCTCAGCCATGGAAACCAACTGGGTGATCTTGAGCAAGTTACATTCTCTCAGTCTCAGACTGAACAAATACCAAGAAAACCCTGTGATAGGTTCCCATAAGTCAGAAACAATTTGAAGGCAAACAACAACATACGTGTATATGCTTTTAAAGACATTGCAGAAGGAGGTTACCAGTATTTCCTCCCAAGACACCATTCCTTTGGGTGCACATGGGAAGCTTCTTTTTGACTGCCCTTGTACACTAGGAGGAGGAGAAGAAAAAACAGCTGTTGTGTCCTGCACACCAGCATATTTACACTGTTTAGGATTTTCACTCTACCAGTGAGCCAATAGGCCATGTTGTTGTTGTTGTGTGCCTTCAAGTCATTTCTGACTTATGGCGACCCTAAGGTGAACCTATCATGGGGTTTTCTTGGCCTGTTTCTTCAGAGGGGGCTTGCCATTGCCATCCTCTAAGGTTCAGAGAGTTGATTTGCCAAGATCACCAAGTGAGTTTCCATGGCTGAATGGGGATTTGAACATAGCTTTTCAGACTCACAGTCCAAAGCTCAAACCACTGCACCACACTGGCTCCCAGGCCATGGTCAGCTGCTTATTGCAGGGTTTTGTACTGAGCAGTTCATGTTGCACAATGCTGGCAGCAGTTATTCTTGGTTAATGCTGGAAGTATGTAGATGAAATCATTTGCTCTACCAGTAACAAAATAAAGCAGGAATGTATGTGTATGAGTGTGTGTCTGTGTCTGTGTTTGTGTGTGTTGTTATTGTAGTTATTAACTGCCCTTGAATTGATTCCGACTCATGGCGACTCTGTGGATGAGACATCTCCAAGAATCCCTCTCCTCCACTGCCTTGCCCAGATCCTGCCAGGCCTTGCCCATAACCCTCCTGATCGAGGGTTTGTGGTCTATCCATCTGGTTTGTGGCTCTTTCTTCTACCCTCTACCCTTCCTAGCATTATTGTTTTTTTCTTGTGATCCATGCCTTCTCATTATGGAGTTTATCACATGGGGGAAATTCCGTGCGGAAACAGGGCATTAAATTAAACAAAACCCGCAAAAGCAGGTGTTTTTTCAGATGATGTCGCTGTTAAAAGGAGGTTAATCCAAACGGAAATTAGACAAAAACTGCTTCTTTTTACTTTTGGAAGATTCCGAAAGTAAAAAGAAGCAGTTTTTGTCTAATTTCCATTTGGATTAACCTCCTTTTAACTGTGCTGGAGTTTATCACACGGGGAAATCCCGTTGATAAATTGCTTCTGATTTTGCAGTTTTTTCCCAGTTTAAAGAAGCGTTTCTGCATGGGGCTCCCCGTGTGATAAACTCCTATGTGGCCAAAGTACAATAGTCTCAATTTGGTCATCTTTAGCTTCCAAGGAAAGCCCTGGTCTGATCTGTTCTAGAACCCATTTGTTTGTTTTCTTGGCTGTCCACGGGATCCTAAGTACTCTTCCCCAGCACCACATTTCCAATGAGTTGATTTTCTTTCTGTCTGCTTCCTTCACTGTTCAGCTCTCACATCCATACATGGTAGTTGGAAACACAATGGCCTGAACGATTCTGACTTTAGTGCTCAGTTGTATGTCTTTGCTCTTCAGTATATTTTCCAGTTCTTTCATAGCTGCCCTTCCCATTCCTACTCTTTTTCTTATTTCTTGATTGCAATCTTCATTCTGGTCAGTGTTTGATCCTAGATATAGGAATTCTTTGACTATTTCAATTTCCTCATTGTCTAGATTGAACTTCTATATTTCTTCTGTAGCCATTATTTTTGTTTTCTTTATGTTCAGCATCAGACCTGCCTTTGCACTTTCATCTTTGATCTTCCTTACTAACTGTTCCAATTCCTGAATGTCTTCTGCTAATATTATGGTGTCATCTGCATATCTCAGGTTGTTAATGTTGTTTCCTCCTAAATTAATCCAGTAGGGTGATAGGATGCAACCTCGCCTGACCTCTTTGCCTGTTTCCCTGAATTCTGTTCTGACGGTGGCCTCCTGTCCTTGATACAGATTTCTCATCAGGGCTATCAAATGTAGTGGCATCCCCCTGTCTTTGAGTATATTCCATAGCTTTTCATGACCTATACAATCAAATGCTTTGCTGATGTCTATGAAATGCATGCTGATTCTTTTTTGGAATTCTTTGGTGCACTCCATTAGCCATCATATGTTTGCAATGTGTCCCTAGTGCACCTTCCTTTTCTGAATCCTGCTTGCACTTCTGCAATTTCTCTCTCCATGTATGGTTGGAGTCTATGCTGCAGAATTTTGAGCATTATTTTTCTTACATGTGCTATTATCCTATAGTTGCTGCAGTCTTTTGTATCTCCTTTCTTGTGGATTGTTATGTAAAGCGAGTGTTTCCAGTCCGTTGACCACCATATTTGTTGGCATATTTCAGTTAGCACTAAAGTTGCATCTGTCTGTGCATTGTAGTAGTTCAATTGGGATGTCGTCTCTTCCTGGTGATTTATTTTTCCCTATTTCCTTTAATGCAGATTCCACTTCACTTCTTAGAATTTGGGGTTCATCTTCATATGGCTCCTTATTCCAAATGTCATTCATTCCCTCTTCTCTTTTGTATAACTCTTCTGTCTATTGCCTCCAGCATCTTTTTATTTCTTCTTGTTCCTGTATGGTGTTCCTTTGTGTATGTGGAAGCAAAATTTAGTAGAGTTCTATCAGTAGCCAAGCACATCTCACAAACTCTCTGTTTACTGTATCATTCCTCAGTGTAGTCAAAAAGGCAAAAGCCAAGGCTCTGCCCTCACCCCAGGTTATACACACGCTGTACACAGCATATACACATGTTGACTGGACTGACAGTTGAACAGTGATGGTATGGTTTTCTCCACCACCACCCCCGAAACAGCAGGCTGGTTTAGGGGGACAAAGGATAGGTTAGGTAAAAGGTAAAGGTATTCTCCTTTAACAAGGTTGTTTAGTCATGTCCGACTGTAGGGGGAGGTGCTCATCTCTGTTACTAAGCCAAAGAGCCAGCATTGTCAAAGACGACTCCATGGTCATGAGGTCAGCATGACTGCACAGAACAGTTTCCTTCCCACCAAAGTGGTACGTATTTATCTACTTGCACTTTTCTATGCTTTCGAATTGCTAGGTTGACAAAAGCTGGGACTAGTGATGGGAGCTCACTCTGTCATGTGACACCTGGGCCTCGAACTGCTGACCTACTAGTCTTGCAGTCATCAAGAGTCAGTGTCTTATGGAGCATGTAACTGTCTTCTGACAGAGTGAAGCACCTAGAAAGTTCAGAGGAACAGCCAGGGGGCTGCCAGTGCTACCCTTCTGTCAGATGTAGTTGCAAATAGAACCAATAGCCATCTTCATATGAATATGGGGTGCTAGTGGCAGCAAATTCCTCCTGTATCCACACATTGAAATATCTCTTTTCTAAATGCATCCACAAAGTGCTTTATGTCATCAAAAACCATGGAAAATCCAGATTCAGATTGTCATGTTTATATGATTTTCATAGGAAACTGACAACAAAATATGATGGATATAGAAAGGGGGAATCAAAGGAAATTGTAGATTGGAGGCAGGTGACTGAAACAAGAAAACTGGGTTGTTTATGACTGTTTGTGATGGTGCTTTCCTTTCCTAGGAGATGGCGGGGAGATAGAAATTGAGAAGGAGCAAACTTCAAAGCGCACCTTTGAAGTGGACAAATAGTTCTGATTACAAGTGCGAGGAGGGGGCTAGACAAAGGATTTTTAAAATGCTGTTCATTCAAGTCCATAAAACTGGGATCAGGATGAGACACTGCAAAGCCCACAGGCCTAAGGTGACCCAGAGAGGGCCTAGATATAACCTGCAGAGAGTCTGGGTCCTGACGGATGAGCAGTAAGACCTCCTTCAGGTAGGCCAATAATTCTTGCAAATCTTGGGCTGTTTCTGGATTTCATTCCTTGTAACCCATTGCAATCGTTGTTCCCAATCCTGTATCTAGTCCAGTTATGCTCTAAATATATTGGAGCTTCATCCACTCCCCCCCCCTTTCTGGAAGTGAATAACTGTTATGTGGGTGAGGTTTCCTTCCCCCTTTGCTAGGGTTGCCATAGTGAAAACTGGAGAGGGCTTCTGTACCTTTAATAGTTGTTTAGAAAAGGTAATTTCAGCAAATGTTGTTTGCTACCTGGTTTCATGACAAGCAGGAACTCTTGATAAATACAGTGTATAGGCTGTCAAATTCTGAGACTTCTGACCAGTCTGAATGAACCCTAATGGAGAGTGAGATTGGGAGTCCCCACTATTTCTACTCACTGATCTCTCTGATAGCATCTTAAGAGTACCTTCTCTCCTCTCTTCACTGTGTGGTTTCCAGAAGAAGCACTGGTGGAAAGTTTCTATCCAGTGATTCAGTCTGAGACCCATTGACTTTTAACTCTGATTTTTTTTTTCAACCAGTAAAGGATATATGGTCCCCTCCCCATTGTTTAAGGACATAAATTCCTCACGTATTTGTTGTCCTCTGTGCTAATGCTGTAAATTCCATAAGATTGCAACAGAGGGAGAGATGGGCAGCAGGGCTATTCTACCAACTCTTCTGGGAAATGGGTTCCTTTGTAGTCAAGATCAATTTTATTTTGCCATTCCTTTTCTCAGTTATCATCTTCCTCAATTGTTATCTGTCAACAGATATTCCCTTAACTTTCAAAAGAGTGAGAGATGGGAAACAGGTCAATTCCTGTTCAGGTTCATCAGCTTCCTTCCTCTCCCTTAACTGCTTCAATTCACGCTTGTCTTTGTAAGTGGTATGCAGCTTGAAGAACCCACAGCAGAAATTTGATTCCCTGCATGGCCATGAAACCCACTGGGTGACCTTAGGCAAGTCACATTCTCTCAGCCTCAGGGGAAGGCAATGGCAAACCCCTCTGCAGAAACCTAACAAGAAAACCCTGAAAACCCCATTAAGTTAGAAAGGACTTTAACAGCAACATTTTGGAGGGTGAGTTTTGACAATTAAACAAAAATTGTCAAGTTGATT